CTATGATGCTGCTTGGCCTGCTGTGTTCATCCAGCTCTGCACCTTGTAGTCTCGTAGCTAATATTCGAGTTGTACAGAACTTTGGTTAGGCCACAGCTAGGGTATTGTGTGCAGTTCTGATCACCACACTATAGGAAGGAACTAATTGCTTTGGAGGGGCTGCAAAGAAGATTCACCAGGATGTTGCCTGGGACAAAGCATTTCAGCTATGAAGAGAGGCAGAATAAGCTTGGATTGTTTTCTTCTGAGCAGAGAAGGGACCTGATTGAAGTATATAAGATTGTGAGGGGCATGGACAGGGTAGATAGGAAGCAGCTGGTCCCCTTAGATGAAAAGTCAATAACAAGAGGGCCTATTTTTAAGATGAATGTTAGAAGATTTCAATGGGATTTGAGGAAACTGTTTTTCACCCGGGGGTGGTGGGAATTGGGGAATGCCTTACCTGTGAGGGTAGTAGAGGATGGAAACTTCACAACCTTTAAAAAGTAACTAGAAGAGCACTCGAAATGTCACAACATTCAAGGTTGTGGGCTAAGTGCAGAAAAGTGGGATAGGTTGGTGCAGACTAGATGGGCCAAAGGCCTTTTCTGTGCTGTATGATTTTATGAACGGAGTGGTTTACTAGGCCATTTCAGAGAGAAGTGTCAACCCAGAATGCAGTGACCATGGAATTACATATGGTCCCATCCAAGTAAGGATATTGCACACGTCTGGAGCAGGTGGCCAGGCTTCCCCTGGCACAGAGGTAGTAACAATACCAGCACACCAGAAGAGCCCTCAGAATAGCTTTTCAATTAACTGAAATTAACTTCAACCAACTGCCGTGATGGGATTTGAATCCCCTTCCCAGAGCATGGGTCTCTAGGCTTTATTAGTTCAGTAACATTACCATCATACCACTGTCTCTCCAATACTATTTACACACTTTTTAAAAATTCCTTGCACAACTGAGTAGCAACGCTGCTATACAGATTTTGTTAGAATACATACCTCTTTTTGGTTGTACTTAATTGCTAGTTTAAGTCGACTTAGGTTCATCCTCTCCTCAAGCAATCCTCTTTTGTCAATTGGTTCATCACTGGACGTATGATTTAAGATAACCTCTAATTCACGGGAATTCCGGGCCTGTGCTAGGAGATCTTTTGCAAAGGTCTTACACTGCTGTGCTAGTTCCTCATAGTCATTCCTGAAAATATTTACAAACAAGTTTCTGTCTTATAAATCATGGTAGGAATGTTCAATGTGTCAGAAGGGAAAAAACACTTGCACTTAAATAGACTTTTCACATCTGCAGGATATTGCAAAGCATGCTATCTTTATTAATAACTAATGACGTTCAATGACTGATGATTTGAAGACAAATACAGCAGCTGAGTTTGGTATAGCAAGGACTCTGAAACAGTGAATAAATGAATAGCACGATGAGTTGATTTTGGTGGTATTGGTTGAGGAAGGAATGCTGGCCACAGATTCAGGAAGAACTCCCAGTTCTCATTCAAATAACACAATGGGTATTTTAGATGTAACTGGACAGAGAAATGGTGTTTGAATCATAAAGTTGTGCGTATAAACCCCACTCCAGTAATGTGAGCACATAACAATGGCTGATAAATCACTGAAATACTAAGGGTGGGCTGTATTGGTGCAGAATGCCAATTTTTAAGATGAGACCTTTATGTTGATACAAAGTGCACTCTCTCGGGGCATAAGGTAGTGATAATGCTAGGAGGACTGCAGGAGAGTTATTCCACTGTTAAAGTCAACATTCATTCTTTAAATAACCATTAAAAAAAAAACAAATTATCTGGCGACATATCTGGTGTGGTTGCTTCAGTGACAATACTTTAAAAGTAGTTTACAGAAAATGAATATTTTAAGATATTCTAAAAGCACAAAACGCATTTCATAAATTACTAATTCTTGATCTCCCAGATAACTCTGGGCTAGCGGGCAGGACCACTGCATTATGGTGAATAAATTATTTAAGTTGTATTTTAATATGAATATTCCTGAGGTTTTTGCTAGTATTTTGAGAGTTGTACTCTGCAGAGCTGTTTCACAAAACCGTAGGTCAGTGATTTCAGCCAGTGATTAATACAGAGTTTAGCAAGAAAAAACTCAATGAAAGACAGTTATAATCAGTGATAGTACAAAATGGTGGTGGTGGTGGTGGTGGTGGATGTTAATGGCATTAGATGCCCATTACCTCTATGCCCACCCGACAATTAGTTTCAATGAAATGAAAGGAATTGACCATAGAATAGGCAGGGCATACATTACTAACCAAGGCAAATTTCTATCTCAGTATGAGTAGCTACAGTTACAGAGGTCGGCCTCTCTGGTGATTTATTTTTATGCAAACCATAGTTCCATCAGAGATTTTTATCCTACCACAATTGGATTAATATTATACATCCTATATTAATAAATGTTACCATTGTGGTAGAATGTGTATGCCTCATGACATGAATTTCTACACCATCATAAGTTCGAACTTATGGTGAGCCTTTGGAGAAGACAAGTTCATGTGCAATATGATGAGAATTAAACTTTAATGACATAATAACAAAGTACAGCCAAACATAACTACAACAGTAGCAGGTGCTTCCTAGTGGCACAAGGAAACCTTTATGGGATGTGGACAAGGTCAGCATTTGTTACCTATCTAATTGGCCTTGAACTGAGCATCTTGTTGGGGCCATTTCAGAGGGCAGTAAAGAGTTAATCACGTTGCTATGGGTCTGGAGCCACATGCAAGGATGGCAGATTTCCCTTCCTGAAGGACAATAGTGAACAAATAATCAATGGCTGCTTAATGGTCATAATCATTCCCTAGACTCAAGATTCCAGATTTGTACTGAGTTCAAATTCCACCAGCTGCCATGGTAGGATTTGAATCCATGTCCCTAGAACATTAGTCAGGGCCTCTGAAATACCAGTCCAGTCAGGTTACAACCGTTCCACTAGCTCTCCAAGGAAGTCGTGCAGTACTAGCAGCAACATGCAAGTCACAGATTTCCTTGGTACAATTAAGGAGATTTTTGTTAGCAACATTCACCTCTTGATTCATATCCAGCACATTGGGTGATTCATGAATATGATCTTTCACTGTCTGCTGGAAATGGAGGGGGAGAGGCAGTGAAGTAAGCAGTCTCTCTATGTAGGTAATAGAACTGAGTGCAGCTGTTGAAATTGGATTAAAAAATGCAGTGAGAATTGAAGTATCATAATGGACAGTAGGCGTTCGGGAGGCACAAATGATCAAGAAAGAAACATAAAAGTTGCATAAGCACAATCAATAAAATAAAATCAGGATACAAAAGCTCCCGAAAGAGAAAAAATACAGAATGAAGTCAAGAAAAAGAATCAAGAAACAAACTTTAAATGTCTGAGGAGGAGCTATTTCATAGTACAACAAGTCATTGGTTAATTGTTAAGCCATTGTGCCGTTTGTCGTATGCCTGTAAGAACAGACCAGTATCAGTTTTGATTGCACTGTACGGAAAATAAATGAAAGATTTTGTGCTCCCTTGCAGGACAACTAATTGTTTGAAATTTTCTGATGTGTTAATAATTTTCTTCATTTGCTTGTGGTCAGCTTCCTTGATATTTTTCTTTGAATGATCCAGACAAAATACAGAAAAAGAGGCAGATTTTTGACAGAATAGGGAATATGCAGCCCAATTTTAACAAATCACATTAAACATAATGGTTGAGGGATAGGAGAAATGAAAAGTGTATCCACTTATATATGTTTCCACACTATCACCTTGTGTTTGTTATGTATTTGTTGACTTTACTGTGATTGAATTTTAATTTTTACATCTTGGGTGTTTTATGTCAATTTTCTCAAACATTTGTACCTAAATTCCACCTCTACGAGACTCAGTTCCTTCAAATCTGCGCTGAGTTCAAAGGCTCTTAGTATAGGATCCTCCTCTGTAAGCATGATCAGTGATGGACTAGACAGGCAGCGGTAGATATCAAGACGGAACCTACAAAAAAGAAATTATGTGCTTCATTCCATTCTGCATATTGTTTATTCCTAAATATTATTCCAATTTTGAACATTTGCTATTTCAGTTTCGTGAGACTTTGGCATTGTGAAAAATACTTTGCAAGCGACAATGTCACCGATGTTTGGTAAACACTGTATATGATCATCATGCACGTTCATTTCTATTTTAACACGTGGAATAATAGTTAAATTATTAACATTCAGCACTGTGATCATACGCAGCAAACCTGAATAACTTTGATTGATAAACGGCAATTTATACTTACACCACACAATGCCAGGCAATGACCACCTTTAAGACAGAATCCAAACTTCTCCCATCCCATGACATTCAATGGTGTTGTGATCACTGAATCCCCCCAATACCAACATCCTTGGGTTGGTGGGGAGGGGGAGTGGGTGGGCAGCGGTAGCGGCAGCGGTTACCATTGACCAAAAACTGAACTGGAGCAAAACTACAAGAGCAGGTCAGTGGCTGCGAATTCTGTGAAAAATAAATCACCTCCTGTCTCCCCAAAGGCTGTCCCACTATCTACAAGGCACAAGTCAGGAGTGTGATGGAATATTCCCCACTTGCCTGAATGGGTGCAACTCCAACAATATTAAAGAAGTTTGATGCCATTCAGGACAAAACAAAACAGCCCACTTGATTGGCACCACATCTATCAACATTCACTCCTTCCATCGCTGATACTCAATGGCAGCCATGTGTGCCCTTTTCAAGATGCACTGCAGAAATCCAGCAAGGTTTCTTAGACAGCACCTTCCAAATTCACAAACTCTACCACCTAGAAGTGCAAGGGCATCAGATGCATGGAACAGACTGGTTGCAAGTTCCTCTCTCATGACTCGGACTGGAAGCTATACCACTGTTCTTTCAATGTCGCTGAGTCAACATCTTGGAATTCCTTTGCTAACAGCACATGGTATGTATCCTTATATCCCAAGAACTGCAGTGGTTCAAAAAGGTAACTCACCACCACTTGCTCTAGGGCAAATAGAAACGGGAAATAAATTCTGGCTTGGCCAGAAGTGTCCACATCCCATGAATAAATTTTTTAAAAACTTAATTAGATATAGGGCCCTATATTTCAGATTTTTCAAATCCAAGTGGTCTAATTACAAACAGATCATATCTGGTCAAGTATTCTGTCTTAATGCCTTTTTTTCCTTTTGCCTACAGAAAGGAACTTTGGAAATTCTAGTTGACTATACTGATCCATACATTATGGTTCATTCCTATGTTATTGTACAAAATTTTGTTTGCAATACTGGTCTCCACACCTAGCAGAACCTCAGTGAAGCCCCTCTACAATACTTGAAGACACAAAAGCCCTTATGGAACCATGTGCTTAATCTTAAACAATGAAACTTCAAGCTGATGAAGCTTTGAAAGCCAAATTCAATCAGCATCGGCAGTTCCCACTATCTCTCTCTCTACCACCATTCCTTCATATTTCTGGGTCAAAACCCTGGAACTCACTCCCTAACAGCACTGTGGGTGTACCTACAGCACATGGATTGCAGCAGTTCAAAATGATAGCTCACCATCACCTTTCTCAAGGGCAACTATGGATGGGAAATAAATGCTGGCCAATACCAAAGCCCACGTCCTAAAAAAAAAATCAAAAGAAATTGAGAATTTTAGCTATAACGAAATATTGGATAGGCTGGAGTTGTTTTCTTTGAATAGAGGAGGCTGAGGGGAGATTTGATTGTACATTAATTATGACAATATAGTGGATAGATTAGTGAGGTAGCAGCTAATAGGTTTTCAGTGCATCTGCACAAAGCTGGAACATTTCAACCAGGTAATGCTACCACTTCAACTGCAAAAATGACAATCTCAAATTTAAAGTTAACAACTGACAAACTTACAAAAGCACCATCCTACGTAGTAGGTTTTGCAGTCATAATCTAGAGATTTCATATAAACTTGCAAATAATTCACCACTTCAGTGATATCAAGATTTCCTTACTCAAGATTCTGCACTCACTCTCCATCAAAAGCCCCGCAAAGTCCAGTTCACGCCAAAAGCTGCCGCTCTCAGCAGAAGGCTCTACATCTCCGTCCAAAGGCAGCTCCTGCTCCCCTGGTGACTCCCTCACTGCCAGGACTTACCTTCTTAGCTCTGCACTGCGCCGCCAATCATAGGCTGGTCCCTCTCAAGTTTGCTGCTGATAGGCTCACCAGTCATTCTCTTCCTTTCCATGCACCTCAAACTCTTGCTGTTTATTTTGTACGTCTTGGCAATTTATTTTCATAATCTATTTTAATTGAACATTTTAATCATCCACAACTGCTTCCGAAAAAGAATCCTAATTATCTGGCCTACCACTAGTTTTTGCAACTTTGTATGTCTTAGTTTTTGATTGGATAGTTTCCCTGGCTGCCCTTATTAACCATGGGTGAGTCACTCTTCTTACTGAGTTCTTCTTTTTGACCAGAAAATTTTTTTAAAGTATCATTTACAGGATGTGAGCGTCACAGGTTGGCCAGCATTTATTGCCCATCCTAAGTCACCTGAGAAGGTGGTGGTGAGCTGCCTTCTTGAACCACTGCAGTTCATGTGCTGTAGGTAGATCCACAATGCTATTAGGGACGGAATTCCAGGATTTTAACACTGGCAACAGTGAATGAAATTTGGTAATATATTTCCAACTAAGGAAGGTGAGTGGCTTGGAATGGAACTTGTATGTGGTGTTCCCATATATCTGCTGCCCCTGTCCTTCTACATGGAAGTAGCTGTAGGTTTTGGAAGGTGTAGTTCAAGCAGTATTTTGCAGGTGGCACACATTGCTGCTATTGAGTGTCAGTGGTGAAGTGCGTGGTTGCTTGTGTATGTGGTGCCAATTAAGTGGGGCTGCTTTGTCCTGGATGGTGTTAAGCTTCTTGAATATTGTTGGAACTGCATCCATTCATGCAAGCAGGGAACATTCCATGACACTCTAACTTGTAGATGGTGAACAGGCTTTGGGGAGTCAGGAGATGATTTACTCACTGTAAGATTCCTAGTCTCTCACCTGCTTTTGTAGCTAAAGCAGTTGAACGGCTAGTCCAGTTTAATTTTTGTTCAATGGTAACCCCCAGAGCTGTTGATAGTTGGGGATTCAGTGATGGTAACACCATTGAATGTCAAGAGGTTAATTAGTTTTCAGCCCTATCTACAACCATAGTTACACAATTCACTAGAACACTGGTGCCAGCATTGCCTAAATGAAGCCTGTTCCAAATGAACAGCTCTCTTTCCACAGTGCTGGTGCCAGTGCCCCAAGAATCAGAACCCATTCTTCCTACACCAATCCTTGAGCCATGCATTTTCTTCTTTAGATTTATTTAGCTGACACCAATTTTCACGTGGCTCAGATAGCAATCCTGAGATTATTAACTTTATGGTTCTGCTTTTCATTTTAGCTCCAAGTCACTCAGCATTCCTCAGCAGATCTTCTTTCCTAACCCTACCTGTGTCGTTGATACCTGTGTGAACCTCAACAACTGGATCCTTCTTCTCTCACCAAGTTTGCCTTCAGTGCAGAATAAATGTCATGAACCATGGCACCAGGCAAGCAACACAGTCTTCGGGATTTTCTATCCGAGCTGCAGCGAACAGTATCCCCTAACTGTACATTCCTACATTCCTATTTTCTTGCTAATAAAAGCCAGTATTCCATTTGTCTTTCTAATTACTTGATCCACCACAATTCAGTTCCCAAAATGTGACATAATCATAGATAACATGGGAAGCCAGCCTATTTTCTTACTCATAGCACTCACTATAAGGGGTTGGTTAACTCAGTTGACTGAACAGCTGGTTTGCAATGCATAGTGAAGCCAACAGCGTGGGTTCAATTCCCAGCTGTGGTTACCATGAAGGATTCTCCTTCTCAACCTCTCTCCTCTTCTGAGGCACGGGGACCCCCAGGTTAAACCACCACCCGTGCCTCACCAATGAGAAAGAAGTTCAATGGTCTGATCAGATTGTGTGAACTTTACTTATTTTAATAGCACTAGCTCTATTAATAAACAATATTACGACCTCTTCTAACTTACATTAATTCTGTGGCTTTAAAGATGGCCTGATGGAGAGCGAATGCGAATTATTTATATATGTACACTCAATTCAGAAGGATATTCAGCCAATTGTGCCTGTGCCAGCTCTTTAAAAGAGGATCCAATCACTGCGGCATTTATTGAATATTACTTCAGAGCACGTGGACATTCTTGACATCCTGAGTTGCCCTTGAAAAGATGAGCCTTTTGTTTGAACTGCTTGAAATCACATGGTGAAGGTATCCCAGAATATTGCAGAACGGGATGGTGACAGCCTAATGGTATTATCGTTGGACTGTTAATCCAGAGACCTAGGTAATGTTCTGAGGACGCAGGCTCAAATCCACCATGGCAGATGGTGGAATTTGAATTTAATTTAAAAAACAATCTGGAATTTACAGTCTAAAGATGACCATTGTCAGTGTCAGGAAAAACCTATTTGTTACTCTAACTCCCTTTAGGGATGGAAACTGACATCCTTACCTGGTCTAGCCTTCATGTGACTCAAGATCCAAAGCAATATGATTGAATCATAACTGGCCTTTGGGCAATTAAGGAGGGGCAATAAATGCTGGCCTAGACAGTGACATCATCCCGTGAAGGAAGAAAGAAAAATGTTAGATAGGAAGTTCCAGAATTGTGACCCAGTGATATACAAGCTTATAAAATCACGAGGGGCATGCAATGGGTAAATATGGGTGGAGAATGCCACAACTAAACAGTATAGATTTAAGGTGAGAGGGGAACATTTAAAAGGGACCTAAGGGGCAACTTTTTCACACAGAGGGTGGTGCATGTATGGAATGAGCTGCCAGAGGAAGTGGTGGAGGTTGGTACAACTACAACATTTAAAAAGCACCTGGATGGGTATAAGAGTAGGAAGGGTTTAGATGGATATGGGCCAAATGCTGGCAAATGGAACTAGATTTATTCAGGATACCTGGTCGGCATGGACGAGACCCCAGAGGGTCTGTTTCCACGCGGCACATTTCTATGAATCTGTGCCTGCACATCAGGAGGATGTGTAACTTGGAAAGAAACTTGAAGGTGATCTGTTCCCATTCACCTGTTGTCATGTTTGTGAGGTGCTGTCAAGAAGCCTTAGGAAATTGCCTGCTCCTTCTCCATAGGTCCTCATCTCTTTTTATTCTACAAGTATTTATCCAATGATTTTTTGAAGTGATTACTGATTCTGCTTCTTCCACTCACTCAGGAAGTGCAAATTCCAGATTACTTTTAACTTAGCCAAAATTTTTCTGCATACACATAACATGAAATTTAAAGTATGTATCTAATACAATTGTAACAATTAGAAATATAAACACACTCGTTATATCTTAATGTGTTTTACTAACCTAGAATGGCGCAGGCTATCCTTTTTGTTCTTTGCATTACACAGTGTGCATTCACATCCTACTGCATGTGGTCTTGGCAATGACAGGTCTTGTTTGAGTAGCATAGTCAGGATCTCATAGTTATTGCGATGAGCAGCAAGGATAACAGGAGCCACATCCATTGTAGTGGAATATTCGGGATTCTGAATTCTCTGCATTAATTTCTATTTGGACAAGTTCCAACAAAAAGATGGAGCAAAATTAATGAAGTGCATCATTGTAACAAGAGTCTAGGATCTATTATTTTTAATGTATTTTGAGATACACTGAATTGTCTGAAACATAGCAAGAACAGGTTAGAAGCCTTGATTAACGTCTCGATAGAACAAGATTTAGAACACTGAGTTTTGGAACAGTGGGATGCATAACAGGACAAGATGCTTTTAAATGGGGGGAAAAGTGCTGAATGTCAAACATTTTTATCTGTTTTAATCACAAATGTTGCTGAATAAAGTGCTTGAAAAAGTTGCAAAATTTGTGATTGTGTATTTAATAATAATCTAAAGATAAGAAAAGTCCATTTTTTTAAAAAAATAAGCTATGTTCAAACATATACATTTTTCAGTTTTGTCACAGTTCATCAAGAAATCTCCAATTTATTTGCAAGCACTACTTTCTATCTCTATTAATAGTAGTCTTGAGAACCAAAATGAACGAGCAGAGGAGTTTGCGATAATCATATTGTTTAACAGTGTGAAACATGCAATCAGAAGATTTTAGCCTTTTTTTAATTACTTATTAAAATATCTCTCATTAATAAAGGTTTTACTTTTAAAATTCTTTTTGCAAATGGCAGTGATTAACAATTATGTTGGTGTCATAATTCATTTTGGAAAAATGGGAATCCAGCATTTAGGGGGCTGCATTTTGCAGCTAGATGGGCCTTTATTCAAAAGCAGAACCTTCATGCAAATCCACTGGGCCCAGTAGTTAGGTCTCCTGGACAAGCAAATGTGTTGGACTCAACATGACATGAACATAGAATGTAGAACAGTACAGCACAGGAACAGGCCCTTCAGCCTACCATGTTTGTGCCAACCATGATGGCATTCTAAACTAATTCCGTCTGTCTGCACATGGTGCATATCCCTCTATTCCCTGCCTGTTCATATGCCTGTCTAAATACCTCTTAAACGTTGCTTACGTACCTGCTTCTACCACCTCCCCTGGCAACATGTTCCAGGCACCTACCGCCTCTGTGTAAAAAACTTTCCTCTGACATCTTTAAACATTCCTCCTCTCACGTTAAACCTATGCTCCCTTGTTTTTGACCTCCAACCTATCCACACCTCTCATAATTTCCCATTTCCGTAAGGTTGCTGCATGGCTTCCCATGCTCTAGCAAGAACAATCCCAGTTTGCCCAACCTCTCCTTATAGATAATATACTCCAATCCATGCAACATGTTGGTAAACCTCTTTTGCACCTTCTCCAAAGCCTCCACATCCTTCCTGTAGTGTGGTGTCCAGAAATGTACGCAATACTCCAGCTCTGATGAAGAGTCATCTAGACTCGAAACGTTAGCTTGATCTCTTTCCATGGATACCTTCTGACCCCTGTGCTCTCCAGCATTTGTTGTTTTCAGCACAATACTCCAAATGTAGCCTTATACAGCTGCAACATGATTTGCCATCTTTTATACTCAATGCCCCGACCACTAAAGGCAAGCATGCTGTATGCTTTCTTTATCACCTTATCCACTTGTGTCGCCACTTTCAGGGACCAAACTTTCAACGCAGATCACAAAATAAATCTTCATATGAAATTTATGATGTCCGACCATTTTCATTATGAAGGCTTGAAATGAGCAGACGTTAAGTTTCTTGGCAAGTGTAATTCTTTAGTCTTTTCTTAGACATACATGTGCACATAGTCTCAGCTCCATTTTACTTTAGGATAGATATATTATGTCATCCACAGCGATATGATTTTAAAGAGAATTTGATTTTTAATAACCAAATGAGATACACAAGATGCTAATGGGGATTGATAAAGTAGACACAGAGCGGATGCTTTCTCCCATTGGACAATCTAGAAAGAAAGGTCATAGTTTTAGGCTAAAGGGAGGTGGGCAGATTTAAAAAGGTGATTAGGAGGAATTACTTCTCCCAAAAGATCGTGAATCTGTGAATTCATTACCCAACACCGTAGTGGATGACAGCATACTGAATACATTTATGGAGGAGATAGACATATTTTAATTAACAATGGGTTAAAGGGTTATGGAGAGTTAAAGGCAAGATGAGATCTGCTATGACTGTTATAAACCGTAGAACAAGCTTGATGGGCTGAATGGCCTACTCCTGCTCCTAGTTCTCATACAATTTAACCTATGATAGTGCTGCAGAAGCAGACACAAGGCAGTTTATGGCAGGGTTCTTCCAATCCACATTAAAATTAAGATAATGTCATGCTTAATAAATCATATGTTCAAATGGTCAAACATAGCATTGGAAACCAAGGGTCTTAAGTCACAGATTGAAATTATGGCCAATACATATTTGAAGTCAGAACTGTTCATATTTATCAGGTTTCTTTTCTTGAAAATGTGCAGCAAGTCTCAGTTTTACACGAAAATTGGTTAAAAAAGCACAAAGGACCGTTAGTAATAAAGAGAAGACACAATTCTTGATGAGGTTTCATGGAACCTACCAGTACAAGATTTTCATCTTCCCTCCCCAAAGGCACATCCAATGCTCTGCACCACACATAAGACAAGGAGGCATATTCAAAATCCATTCCAACTGCAACAAGGATCAATCCCCATGCTAAATAAAAACCAAAAGAACTGCGGATGCTGTTAATCTGAAACAAAAGTAGAAATTGCTGGAAAAGCTCAGCAGGTCTGGCAGGTTTCGGGTCGAGTGACCCTTCCTCAGAACTGATTTCGCTCCACAAATGCTGCCAGACCTTCTGACCTTTTCCAGCAATATCTATTTTTGTTTTAATCCTCACTCTGTTGGCACCAATCTGATCCTCAATATCTATCCAGCAATCTCCAAAAGACCCACCCCAAGGAGTTGCTGTGGCAACATGCACTTTTACAAGCATGCTATAGTCCAGCACTCTGAATATTGATGGCAGAGGCTCCAGTTTTTTTTCCATCACACAGGTGATCGGGAATAATCTTTCCTGCTCTTACCCGCCTGCCACTGGTGTATGTTGAAAGGACATGCAGATTGATACTCAACCTGTTTAGTATTACTATGAATGTGCCTTGCTTGACCATCAAGTCACAATTTCTGGGAGCCAGGGATGCTACCTATTGCACCCAAAGACCTCCAGTACAAGTGGATAATCGATTGAGCACCTTTTTGAAGTTGTTACTTTAAAGTGAAAGTCTATAAGCTATAGGAACAGAATTAGGCCATTTGGCTGATCAAGTTCTCTCTGCCATTTGATCATGGCTGAATGTTTCTCAACACAGTTATCATAGCTCCAGAGGGCCATACCTCTCTTATTAGACACAGAGACAACTGATGTTCATTTTAACCTGACGGTCACCACACATCAGGCAAGGAGCATTGGTACAAGATTTAAACTTACGTTACTGGCATCATCTTGCATTGCAAATCAGCCATTCAGTGAACTGAGCTCAACAACCTTCCCAGTCCCTACTAATTCATTGGGATACAGTTACGACAAAAAACTGACACTACTTGAAACTGTGGAGCCCCTGTTTATTGAGAAAAAAATGGCTGCACAAGCAATGGAGGCAGTTGTTTTGGAAAAACACCAATGTAGGCTTAATGGTGTAATTAATTGTACAGGATTTCTGTTTAGTCAGTACTGCAAGTGGCAGAAACAGTACTTGTTATGTAACTGTCCAAGACCCTGTTTATTCAGCAGAGTAAGAGTTCAAGAGCTAGAGATAGTATTTGTTGTACTAACTGTATAGTGTTGCTGTTCAATCCAAAGGAAAGGATCAATCAACGGTCTGTACTTGCTTGTGTTACACAAAATCGACATTGATTCTTCTGTAAACATCTGGAACTGGAGCCAAATTAAATAAGTCAGATTTTTCCATGAATTCTACCTCATTTTTATTTACGTTGTGATCCACAAGAAAGTGATGTTAAAAAAACTGCCATTTCAGATACTTTTTGCTATTTGTTAATTTGATTGCAAGTGTTTTATTAGCCATTTAGTTCACTGTAGCGTAGCCTAAGGCAGAGATGAAGGTTTCCCCTTTTAGTTTGAAGCCAGTTTCAAAACCTGGCAAGTGCCATTTCTTTTGACAAGTGATGTCTTTTTTTAGAAAAACTTACTTTTCTATAATACAGTACACCTTTGATTAAGCACCAACAAGCATAGCAAAACCTTTAACTTTAAAAACAGCTCACCACAGTCTGCTCTCCCAAACGATATGGCACCCTCAATCAAAAGGATAAAAAGGCAACATCTGCCCATCGAGTTGGACTGAAGGGTCTGTTTCCACGCTGTATAACTCTATGACTATGAGTACCTACACTGTTATTCAAATTGCCACTAAGAACCTTACAAAACAGATGGAGAACTAGAATTCAGACTCCTGAAGTGCTGTTTCCTTTCTGCTTCATTCTTCCACAAAACACCTGCGACGAAAAATTCAATGTGCGTGTGTATAATCTTGGCTACTAGTCTACAGTAAGAAGTAAAAATCACATCACAGGACCATAGGGCTGGTGACTTAATTAGAGAGAAACAACTGGTGGTGGTTTAGTCTAAGGGTTACCACACATCTGGCTAGGGGAGAGGTTGAAATTGAGAGTCCTTCATGGTAAAATGCAGGCCTATATTCTATCATTTGCAGCAGACTGCCATTCAAAGCTCAGTCAACTAGAAAATATTCTCGTCATGAGTATTTAGCTGGTTCACTTTCTCATATTACACAGTATATTTAAAATATCAGTTATGAGAGTCTAACAACAAAGGTGGAAGAAAGGGTCCATTAAGGTTACATCACTTGGTAATAATTATTCACACGATCAGTATAGTAAAACAACAGGTTACAACAAAGGCTTTTCTTTTTATTTCTGGCCCATGGCTGTCACATTATGTGGGGCTTCTACATGGATTGTCCAGAGCAGTGGTAAGCTACAAGATCCCTTAACCCTGTTCCACAGGTCTTTTACACAGCTTTTCATACATTCCCCATTCCTTAATTCTCTTAGTTCCCCAATATTGATCAACCTCAGTCTTGTATATATTCAACAACCAAGCATCTCCAACTCTCCGAGGTAATGAATCCCAAAGCCTCACAGCCCACTGAGTGAAGGGTAAACGCAGTGTGGAGCTGGAGGTACACAGCAGGTCAGGCAGCTTCAGAGGAACAGGAAAGTTGATGTTTCGGGTTGGGACCCTTCATCAGAACTGAGCCCACTGAGTGAAGAAATTTCTCCTTAGTTCAGCCTTAAATGATTCACCCCTTAGACAATAACAGGATTGTTGCTGAATTGGTTTGGGTTGTCTAACAACTTTATATAGAGGTCAGGAATACCTTGGGACCAACTGTTTGTCAGAGAAATGATATTGGCTGGAATGCATTCAATCATCTCATCAATGTCATTCTCATAAATTATAAATAATACGTATCAACAGTAATTCCTGTGGGATGATAAGAAATATCACTTGGCCGCCTGCGAGCAGGAGAAGGGACAAATCAGTTTGCAAAACTTGCAATGGAAATTTCAAAACACATGTAAGTAACCAGAATTCACTAACTGCTATAGTTGGCTTGGATGAACGTCGGGGACGATGATTGAGAAGAATATCAACAGCACCAACAACTTCAGAGCTAATCGCCACAAGTAGAGCATCTGTAGTCTAGAATGAATGGAAAAAAGTTACTCAACTTTTTAAAACTTATATTTAAATCAATTACTGTAGAAACATGTTTAGCAACAATAAATATTGGTACCTGGCAGCCACGATCCAAGAGAAACTGCAAGATATCCAGATTTTCATTTTCAATGGCAATGGTAACTGCATTCCTCCCCAGAACATCCACACAATTTATATTCAGCTCACTGAATTTCTCATCAAGCAGCTTTTTGACCATGTAATTGTCTCCTGTGGTGTACAAAAGTCACAAATGTTAAAAATTTAGATAACCCTATATAGTACTGCAAAGACACACATTCTACATAAAATAAACTATAGACGATAGCCTGGTGGTATAACTGCTACACTATTAATCCAGAGATCCAGAAATGTTCTGGCATTTCAAAACCCACCTGGGCTCAAATCCTACCATGGCAGATGATGGAATCCGAATTCAAAAATAATCAGGAAATAAGAATTTAATGATGACCATGAAACCAGTGCTGATTATTAGCAGGAAAATCTCATCTATTTCACAAATGTCCTTGGGGAAGGGAAATCTGCCTTCCTTACCTAGTCTGGCCTACATGGGACTCCAGACCCACAGCAATCTGGTTGACTTTTAACTGCCATTCCTCGACCCATCTGATCATGCTCCCTTTGTACTCTGAGGTAACTTTCTTCACTACACCACCAATTTTGCGTCATCTGCAAACTTACTAACCATGCCTCCAAAGTTCACAACCAAACGATACAAAAAGCAGTGCACCCAGCACCGATCCTTCCTCCAAGTCTGAAAAGCAACCCTCCACCACCACCCTCTGTTTCCTACCTTCAAGCCAATTCCATATCCAAATGGCTAGTTCTCCCTGTCTTGCATGTGATCTAACTTCATTAACCAGTCTACCACACAGAACCTTGTCGAACACCTTACAGAAGTCCATACAGATCACGTCCACCACTCTGCCTTCATCAAACTTCTTCATCACTTCTTCAAAAAAAAAACCCAATCAAGTTTGTGAGACATGATTTTTCACACACAAAGCCTTGCCGACTATTCCTGCTCTGTTCTTGCCTTTCCAAATACATGTATTTCCTGTCCCTCAGGATTGTGCCTATAGCAGAAGGACTACAGTGGTTCAAAAAGGTAGCTCACCACCAACTTCTCACGAGCAACTAGGGATGGGCAAGAAATGCTGGCCAGCCAGCGACATCCACATCCCACAAATGAATAGAGAGAAAAAAAAGGAATCCCTCTAACAACTTGCCCAACAATGATGTCATGCTCACCAGTTCATGGTTCACTGGTTTTACCTTACCACCTTTCTTAAATAGTGGCACCACGTTAGCCAACCTACAGTCTTCTTGCACTTCACCTGTAGCTATCGATAATACAAATATTTCAGCATGGGGCCCAGCAATCACTTCCCTAGCTTCCCACAAAGTTCTAGGGTAAACCTGATCAGGTTCTGGTGATTTATCCACCTTTTTGCGGGTTAAGACATTCAGCACCTCCTCCTCTGTAATATGGCCACTTTTCAAGATATCGCTATTTATTTCCCAAAGTTCTCTAGCTTCCACATTCTTCTACACAGTAAACACGGATGCAAAATACTTGTTTAGTATCTCTCCATCTCCTGCCGTTCTACACATAGACAGCCTTGTTGATCTTTAAGAGATCCCATTCTCTCCGTAGTTACTATTTCGTCCTTAATGTATTTGGAGAACCCTTTTGGATTATCCTTAATCCTATTTGCCAAAGCTACCTCATGTCCCCTTTTTACCCCCCTGATTTCCCTCCTAAGTATACTCCTACTGCCTTTATTCTCTTCTAGGATTCACACAATCTCTGCTGTCTAACCTGACATATGCTTCCTTCTTGTTCTTTACCAAAACCTCAATTTCACTAGTTGTCCAGCATTTCCTACACATACAAGCCTTGCCCATCATCCTAACAGGAACAAACTGTCTCTGGACTCTTGTTATGTAATTTTTGAAAGCTTCCCATTTTCCAACCATCTCTTCACCTGCGAATATCTGCCCCCAATCAACTTTTGAAAGTTCTTGCCTAATACCATCAAAATTGGCCTTCCTCCAATTTAGAACTTCACTTTTAGAAGTTAAAGGGCAGTATACCATTTACCTGTGAAGTTTGTTTTCTTGGCGTGCCAAATATTCCATTGCATGATTTAAACTAGAAGTTGCATACAAAAATTATATTAGCTGGAGTGATTTTTATCTTCTGTTATCAGAAGTGTCTTAACACAGAAACTTTGCTTTGTTTTGCTTCTAGCTATTAACTGGAAATCTGAATTTATTTTTAGAAAAGTTTCCAGTGTCTGGGATTTGTACTAACATATTCCAATTAATGGAACACTTCATGGATGTTCCTTCTCTCAAACATTTTGCCACATTAAAAGGCATGCAATAAATGCAAGCTGTGGTTAGCTTGAATCTAAATATTGACACCACCTCTATGACTAACTCATGAGAGAATTATAATGTGCTGAAATGGTTGGTTTTTCAACACCTTGTTACAATCCAGTTTATATACAATTAGGTTTACCTTTAAAGAGGAATTCAAACGCATCATTTTAGCCACAAAAGTTCACATTTTTAAATAAAACACAAACTTTATTGGAAATAGAACAAGTTAAATAAAGGAAGTACAGTAGAGTTAAATAAATAATCTAGTTTACACCTAGATATGTTCAACCACTAGATTGACTTCTTACTTCCCCAGAGAATTCTCTTTTATTATACATCATCTTGGAAGTTAATTACTTCTCTAGGAAACATTCACAGACCTCTATGAATGTGTAAGCTATATTATTTTTAAATTCCCCTCAGTTCTAGATACTTTAATATACCATCTCTCCACTGTGGATGCATCATTCCCTTCTGTTCTGTTCCAGTTACTTTTCAATATTCCCAAGCAAACCTGTTGGCTACTTTCGCCACCACAAGACTCAGTGTGGGCTATTGTGCATTCTTCCATTAGTTTCAAAGCTACCAATCTTCAAACTTCTGTTCCCTCACAAACTTCTAACTGAGATTAAGCTTTACGTACATTCCAAGTGCTGAACAATGATTTTTTTTTGTTTGGTTTACAGTGCAGGTCAAGTGAACAATCATTTATTTTGGCTGTTTCTTAGTGAGCTGCAACCACATAAGGTCCCACTGCGGCCGTTGAGTTTGGATGGCTATGTGTCCCTTGATAAGCCTTCAAAAACTTTCAACCAGCCTAAAGCTTTTGGTTCCTACACCGCAGGTATGATTTTTTGATTCTTTACAAACTGGAGAGGCCATTTTTAAAAAATATTTTCCCTTTCACTTTGTTTTTGATCAGGTCATGCGCCATTTCTCACCCTCCCATATGTAGCTCCCTGTCTTCTATGCTGACTTTTTAAGTGTCAAAAATATTGGCTGCCCCTCGGTTCAAGAATAACATATATTCAGGGGTGGAGGTTTCAGTTACGCACCTTCATGAGACAAAATAGATCAATTCCAGAGCCACAGATGTCTTGGATACAAAAGGGTCAGGATGTCCATGAGGTATTGGGATCCAGGGTGCAGGATTTGTCTCATTTTCTTTCCATCTCTGCCACTGCACTACTTCATCATTAAGGGATTTAGACTCAAAGTACAATGCGGTTTGATGAACAAGTTGTCGCCATTTTGAACAGCTGGTAGGTAACTCTTCCCAATCACTAATATCAATGTAGCCATTCTGCAAGGAAGGCTTTAAAGTAACTTTAGCATTTTCATTGTCCTCCCCAGAACACTGAACTTTTAAGAGTTGAGATATGGTAGGGGAGAAACTTTTCAACTGTCCAAACATGGTGTTTATCGCAGCCAATTTTCTTTGAACATTTGTAGAGCTGGATCTCCCAATGAACCAAGAGAACACAGTGGACGCAATGCCTGTCTAAGTTCTTTCGGGCTCTCATGCGTAACTGTTAGTCCAAGTCTCACTGCAGTAAAGGAGTACTGTTAGAGTGGTCACTTGGGGTTTTGTTGACCCAGAGCAGATTTTGTTGCAAATGCTCAATGTCATAGTTTGTAAAAGACTGAACTGGTGCAGACGATCCAGTGTTGGATCCCTTCAATAATTTTCAGCGAGGTATAGGAAGATTGCAATATATTCCAGAGTCTCTCTTTCAGTATAAATGGGAGGTGGAAGTTTTGATTGACCAGGGCTGGGGTTGACATGATTGCAACTGTTGTGAGTTGGTGACTTGAACCAGACATTTTGAAAATCTGGACTAATGTCAAGAATGGCTATGTGATAGCCCCCATGCAAGTTACATGCTGCTGATAGTAGCTATTCACCGCATGAAAGAGAAACTGTCCCCTGATTTACTCATAAATACAGCCTAGATGGAAAACCCTCAATCTGCTGCTACCTCCACGGAATTGGGAACTCCTTGGACCACCTAATTTATATAGAAATATTATACAGAAATCTGTGATGGACAGAGTACACGTTAACATTATAATTGCATAGCATACACATCACAGGAATAGGTGATTGAGTCCACATGTGCCTCCTCTGATTCTGTTTATATAACAGCAAACTATCAACATATCCTTCTGTTCTGATTCTCACATAGCTATCTAGCTTCCACTTAAGTGCATCTATACTATTTGCCTCAATCACACTGGTATAATGAGCTCTATATTCACACCACTTATTCATTACTTTGGCTAATATCTATAAATGAATTAACAACTGAATAGCTAATCTCCCTGACATTACTCTCATTGAAAGGACACTTGTTTTTTTTTTCTGCAAAGTGAGACTCGGAAAATGCATAGGAATTAAGGGTGATGCTTGAATAAAGTTAGTATTGTATGCAGGCTTCAATAATCAGAAGCCGCAAATGTGGACTGAATGGCCTATTCTTATTAGATAAAATATTATTCACAAAATAGACAGTAAATAAACAGTTAAAACAGATTGTGGACTGTGAATGAAAAGTAAAGATGTGTTTTTTTGAGAATGTGTTGAAAGGATTATGGATAGTGGTTCATTTGAAAAGAAAGCAGTGATTTCTGAAATTTCTTTAAAATGTCATTAGGATATTTTTCGTTTAAAAACACTTTTGGAAGTCACATGTCTTAAGCTTGGACTTATTTACTGGAAATCCCTTGCCTGCATTTATGGCTGTCAGAAGTTATGTTTTGTTTGGAGTCCAATGGAGGTATTACAGCCTGCTGGGGGAGAGAGAGAGAGAGCAAGAGAAGCTACTCAACTTTTCGTCCATTTTCTGAAGAAGGCTCCCAACCCGGAACGTCAGCTTTCCTGCTCCTCTGATGCTGTCTGGCCTGCTGTTTCCTCCAGCTCCACGCTGTGTTATCTCAGCTTTTCATTTTTTTTGAGCTAACTCTTCTGTACACCCAAGTGCGAGACCTAAAAAAAACTGCTGCAGTTGTTCTCGAATAGCCTCTGAATTCTCAATGCTTCCTGAATATATCTGCATCTGTAAAGGTTCCAGTGACGCCGGCATGTTAGTGACATGTGCGTGCGTGCATGCCACGCACCAGGACGCCAAATGAAAGCCATCTTGAACATGTGAAACTTTATCCTTCTTCCTTCCTCTGCCTCATCCCCACCCCAGCAAGAACTTCAATAAGAAACCTGATTGATTTTTAACTTTATTCTAAACTTAATATGGGTAAAGTATATACAATTAGCTACATTGGTATCTGGGTAAAGCATTTAAATTCATGTTGTGACCAGTGGAGTGGTGGAGTAAGAGGAGTGGTGGAATAAGAGAAATGGTGATTACAACAAAATGAAACAAGAACACATGGAAACAACCAACAAATGATGAAGAAATGCTGCCAAACAGAGAGTGATCAATTAATCACTCCAAATAGTCCTTGAAGATCTTTTCAGCCGTCATCTTAAATTCTACCATCATGGATATACAAGTTACACGAAAAAAAGCTAAATTACTACAAAAACTTTAAAAAAAAACAAAAATTACACACAAGATATACAAGATAAACAAAGCACTGCAAGAGCCATTATATGCTTAAAATGTTTCTTTTTAAAGACCGGCGTCACTTTGAGGAAAATGGAATATGAGATCCTGGGCTATATCAGTCTTCACTTAGGAGAAGCAAGATGACAGTTTTCAAAACAAATGCTGGAGATCACAGCGAGTCAGACAGCATCCATGGAAAGAGCGCAAGCTAACGTTTCAAACCTAGATGACTCTTCAGCATTTGTTGTTTTTAGTACACATTCCAGCATCTGCAGTAATTTGCTCCTACAAGAAGACAATTTTGTATACTTCACAGTCCACACCTGTCTCTCGATGAACCAGCTGTGAGGAGGATATGGAGATATTGCAATGTGATTTGGACAGGCTGAGTGAGTGGGCAAATGCATGCATGATGTGGATAAACAGGACATTATCCACTTTGGTAGCAAAAATTGGAAGGCAGATAATTATCTGAATGGCTGTAAAATGAGACAGAATATTGTTCAACGAGATGTGGGTATTCTCATGCACTGGCCAATGAAAGTAAGTGTGCAGGTGCAGCAGGCAAAGTGTATGTTGGCCTTCATAGCGAAAGGATTTGAGTACACTTATTCAGGGCATTGGTGAGGCAACTCCTGAAGGGGTGTAGTTTTTGGTCTCCTTATGTGAGGAAGGATGTTCTTGCTGTAGAGGGAGTGTACGAAAGGTTTACCAGATTGATTCCTGGCAGGACTGATGTATGAGGAGACAGCAAGTCTGTTATGATTGTATTTACTGGAGTTTAGAAAAATGAGGAGGGATCTCATAGAAACATAAAAAATTCTAACAGAACTAGGTATGTTAGATGTCAAAAGGATGGGGACAATCCAGACCAGGGGTCACAGTTAAAGGTAAAGAGTAAACCTTTTAGGACTGGGAGGAGAAGAAAAATCTTCACCCAGAAAGTTACAAGCTTGAGGAATTCACTGCTACAGAAAGTGGTTGAGGCCAAAATATTATGCGTTTTCAAGGAGGTAGGTATAGCTCTTGTGGCTAAAGTGATCAAGGGATTATGGGGGGAGGATGGGATTAGGGTAATGAGCTCAATGATCAGCTGTGATCATACTGAACGGCAGAGCAAGCTCAAGGGGTCGAACGGCCTACTCCTGCTCCTATCTTCTGTATTTCTATGTATGCTCAAAGCTTGGCAAATCAAGGACTTCATGGCCTATATTTTCAACTTTTGCAGATGTCTCCAGCAACAATGGGACTTCCACACACTAAAAGTTTAATCTCTTGACCATAGTTAAAAATCTAAAGTGACATTAATAACAGACAGAACATACTTATATTGCCACAACAACTACCTGCTACAAGAGACAATGAGGTAGATCACACTGACAAGATCCCTTCAAAGCTACACACCATTCTGATCTGGAACTACAACATACTAGCCCTTCACTGTGGCTGAGCAATCCCCTGCAATTCTCTTACAGCTTGTAGGTGTAAATACAGCATATTAACTGCAGTGGATAGAGAAGGCAGCTCACCACTACCACTTATTAAGGCCAATTAGAGATAGGCAACAAATATTGGCCTAGTCACCAACACTCGCATCCCATGAAGGCATAAGAAAAATACAATCATCTTGGATTACCACATAGTTAGAAACTTATAATTGGGAAAGTGATTTAATTTCTCATTAAAAAGGAGGTAAGCTATACCCAGAGACACCAGGTCAAATCATGCCACCATAATTAAGAACCTGTGAGATCAAAAGAAAGTCAGCAATTCACCAACTGCATAATCTGATTAATACTGTAAGCTCCCAATGAATAACAGAGAACTGAAATTCAGTTGCTGATCATTTAAAGTTCTTTCGGTGAGATTTTTTTTTCACAAGGCCTTCAACCAGCTGGGCAATTTCTGAAGTCAAAAGGAAATTACCGTAGATACTGGGAATCCGAAACAAAAACAGAAAAGTGTTGCTCTGGCAGAACCAGTGAAGACAGAAACAGAGCTAATGAATCTTCTTCAGAGCCATTCCTCTTTAGTCAGCATTGTGGATCTACCTACAGCAAATGGATTGCAGTAGTTCCAGAAGGCAGTAAACCAGCACCTTCTCAAGGTATGATTGGCAACAAGTGCTGGCCCAGCCAGCAATAACCCACATCCTGTGAAGGAATAAATAAAAAGGAAAATTTCTAAAGGCAGCGATGAATTAATGGATTTGGAAAACATATATAGTGACAGATATCCTTCCCATAATAACATTAGTAAACTAGGTTATCAATAGTTTAACCAATATAATTGCATTACTGAGAATAATCTTATATTCAGTGCAATAACAACAAAATTCCAAGTCAGTGACATTGCCATTTCTACACACAAAGGGTAGTAGAGGTTTAAAACTGTCTTCCCCAACAGCAATGGATGCTCAATCAGTTTTTAATTTTAAATCTAAGATAGATAAATTTTTGAGCAAAGACATTATAGGATATGGGCCAAAGGCAAGTATATAGAGATAGGCCACAGATCAACCATGATCTCACTGGATTATGAAGCAGGCTTGAAGGCTGAACGGCCTTCTCTTCCTATGTCTCTA